TGATGCTCTTTGCACTCCTCTCTCCTCCTTTCCAGCTTTTCCAAAATATCTTTTAATATAAAACAATTACTTTTGTTAAAGCCTTAAGCCTTGTCTCCTTGCCATGATGGGCTCTTTTGTTATTGTCTTCACCAAGATGCTCTTTGTTTCAGATAATATCTCTCAACCAAAGTAATTTCTTGTTACCAAGTGTTATGGTAACAAGAAGAATCAAGATAACATTATGGAGGTAAAAAACTGGCCTACTTCGGATTTCCAGAGCTGCTGTAACATATAGGATCAGTTGGATAGGCTAAACTTGTCCAATGGAGCTCAAATTTGGATATGTTGTAGTTAACATCCATTGGAACAAGTTTCATGAAGATCTTCACCTCATCCGAGCATTGGAGCATGCTGATCCAAGGCCAAGAAGTTGACCTACGAAAATGAACAAAATCAGAATTTATAACCAATAATGCACTTTTAGCTCATTTTCATTCTAACCAAGGTAAAATCTAAGAAAACACAAAAAGGAAGTAAAAAGCTATAAAATGTCAAGAACTAACTCAAAATAATAGGTGAATAACATGAAAAATCATGTGTAAAAATGAACCGAACAAAGGCCGTAGAGAATCTCGACAAGGTCCCACAAAAGCGCTATCGAGAGGTAGAAGGAGCCGGAGCTGGCAAAGGAGGGGATGTTGCATAATAGCGTCTTGGGGTGGTTGTGGTGGAGCCAGGATGCGGCCGCGTAGAAGGCTGCCGGAAAATCTTTTTCTCCAGGACCATCGAAGGAGTTGAGATTGAAGATGAGCTTGAGGGTGGTTAGGGAATTGTGGGACCAGGCCACCGGCAGCAGTTGCTTCAGGTAGTTTATGGTGGCCTTGTTGTGCTGCTCCACCTGTTCATCAGTGGGCTCTGGTGAGATACACATTCTTATGACGTTTTCTGGTGATTTCACGTGGAAATACAGATCATGGCAGGGATCACCGTAGGAAATAGGGGAGATGGAAAAGATGTTCTTGGCCATGTCATTGTCCCCCTTGGAGTTGGAAGCCATGAATCTTCTTGCGAGCAGTGGAAGCGGAGGAGGAGTAGGAGGAGACAAGACTTTCAGAACCCTGATGAAAGTGAAACATACTTGCACTGGCATTGATTTCTTCATAGCTAAGATTCCTCTAATTCAAATTCAACACTCTCTTTTGATTTTGAGTGAGGAATAGAACGGTGGTTATATATTTCGCCACCTGCGTGGGCACCAAGGATTTTCATTTTCCTTTATAACACTTGTCGAATACTTTAGATAAGTATTAGATCTTCACCCAAAGAAATAGGAGACAAGTATAACACAAATATATCTCTGTCTTTTTATCAGTTTTTTAGTTCCATAAAAACACTTGCAACTAAACATAATCAAATGCAAATATTGTCCTTCGAACACATGGCATACCAAACAGATGACATAACTAATGCCGTTGAAAATGTTGTAGCAAACTTTTAATGTTAGGTAGGGGTGGGCAACCGAAACACTAATGCATCTGAATTGCTTTTCAATAATGCATCTGAAATTCCTCCTGCCATGGCATTGGCAGTGGGACTGAAAGAAAATCCAAGGAGGAAAAGTGAAAAAAATCCAAGAAATGTCCCTATGACACGAGAAATTATAGAATGATACAGTAACACCACATCATATAGTAATACTCCCATTCAAAATCTGCAGCCTGTCACTTTTCAAAGAAAACTACAGTTTTTTATACAGCTGGACTTTATCTTACATTTGTTGTTTATTTCCACATTGAAATTCTGCCCATTTATTCATCTCCCTCAAAATAAAAAGAATAAAAAATTGAAAAAACTAGAATATTGTACACCAACCACTGCACTCAGCTTTGCCTCCATCGCCCCCGCTGTCTCAGTTTCCCTCTCTCATCTAGAAGAATGAGATCTACATATTCCAATTGATCCCAAGTCAGCTTTTGGGCAGGTCATACATATTCAATTGAAAAGTCTAAAGTTTTCTCACATGTTATCGAGAGAGGATAGAGAGATGGAGGGAAGAAGAGAGAAAGAAAGTGAAAGAGAAGGGTGCGGTGACGGAGAGAGGGAGTTTGGGTAACTCGTTCACTTTTTTTTTTTTCTTTCTATTTTTTAAATTTTATTTGAAAGGGTAAAAGTATAATTTCATATCCAGCTGTAATTAGTTTTAACTTTTAAAAATAAAAAGTGACAAGTGGTAGATTTTGAATGGGAGTATTACTACCTGACGTGGTGATACTGTATTATGACACAAGATTAAACGATTGAAGTGTTGATAAATGTTATGCAAACATGTCATTCTTTTCCCATATTTTTCTGATTTTTATAAATTTTGTAAGGTAAAAAAACATAAATGACACATGTCCGTATCTTATAAGAACACATGTCATAAACCTAGATGACATGCCTTTTATCTACTGTCACTTGCCATTTTCTTCTATTTATTAATATTTTTCTACGATTTAATTTTTAGAATTCATAATAATAAGGAGTCTCGATTGGAATCTCTTTCTTCTATACGCATTTAAACACAATTTCATTTAGAACTCAAACAAATCCAAAACACTCATGGCATGTTTACTAATCCGTAATTGGATTAGGAGGAATTGAATTGAGGAGAAATTAAATTGATGAGGAGTTAGATTGATGAGAATTAGATTCCGGATTCCTAATGAAATTGTTTACTAAACCATATCGATTGAGGGAAGTTAGATTTCGAATTCCTATTGAAATTATTTACTAAAATATATGGAATTGGGGTATGAGTGGTACTAATTCCTAAAATGTCCTCATTTTTGGGTTAAAGTAGATGGCATATTTGGAATTTTAAAAATTGTATGAGGATATAAAGGGTAAAAAAGATGAATGCCTAATGGGTGAATTCTCCAAATAGATGATGACAACAATGGGAGTGGCATGGGCATCCCACAACAATGGGAGTGGCTGGTAGTGCTGCTCAAGCATCATATGGTGTGAACCCATATCAGTCTGGCCAAATGATGGTGCTCTCTCCCACTGGATCAGTTGGATTGATGCAATCTCCTACTCAGCCGGCAGGTCCTCCAGCCTCTTCTCAGCTTGCACAACACCAACTAGCTTATCAGCACATCCACCAGCAACAACAACAGCAACTACAGCAACAACTCCAAAGTTTTTGGGCAGAACAGTATCAAGAAATTGAGGCGGTTATGGATTTCAAGAACCATAGTTTGCCATTGGCCAGGATTAAAAAGATTATGAAGGCTGATGAGGATGTGAGGATGATCTCAGCCGAAGCTCCAGTCATATTTGCCAGGGCCTGTGAGATGTTCATTCTAGAGTTGACACTGCGGTCTTGGAATCACACAGAGGAGAACAAAAGAAGAACACTGCAAAAGAATGACATTGCCGCAGCAATTACACGGACTGATATATTCAATTTTCTGGTTGATATCGTCCCGAGAGAGGATTTGAAAGATGAGGTACTTGCGTCTATCCCAAGAGGTGGGAATCTTCCAATTGAAGTTCGACTGATGGTGTGCCTTACTATTACATGCCTGCTCAGCATGCTCCACAGGTTGGTGCTCCGGGTTTGATAGTGGGAAAGCCTGTAATGGATCAAACTCTTTATGGCCAACAGACGCATCCCTACATTGCTTAGCCGACATGGCCACAGCAACAGCAGCCGCACAAAGATTCTTGAGTGAAAGTGTTGATGGAGTAAAAAATCATTGTTTGTAATTGAAGGTGTACAATTTGAAGTGGTTATCTTGGATACAGTTACACACTTTGCTTGTCATTAAAGTTACAAAGTACTTGTTATTGCTACATGAAAAGATTATATGCATGGCGTATGGTACTGTAGAAAATTTAAATTTGTTGGCACCAAAACTGAACAGATAGAGATGAGTGCAACTTACAAGTGATATGGACGATTGAGAGATCGATTGAGCATTTGATGCAGATTCTTCCTGTCCTCATATGCTGATCCTGAATGGGAGGAAAACGAGACTCGTGAGGTCTACGGAACCGGTGTGGAACCAGCCTAAGACCCTTCGATGCTAGAGTAAGTTTGTTTTCTAAGAGCTTTCGCTGTTAACAATATGTTAGTATATAAGTCAAGCAAAAAAAGTCTTACCCTTGTATTGTAGTGAAAGGGCCTATTTATAGAGGGGATTTTGTGTAGGCCCCACTTAATTTTCAATTCCTTGATGTGAAGTAAACGCATGAATTCTCCATAGGCGGAATTCAATTCCTGATGGGAAATTCCAATTACTGATTAGTAAATATGCCATCAAAGCATCTCTCTTGACAAAAACACGTCATCTTTAATATATATATATATATGACTCCATCTTCTATGCTTGTACCTATTCGTTCGTCTAAAATAGGGTAACCATCTTCATTAGTTTTAAAGGCATGGATTATTCTTAACTTGGCATCTTCTGTGAGATGTTTATATTTTCCATGCTGGTTTCTTCAATGGTGGAACATTATTGGTCCCTGTTGGGAAATCCTTCCAGAAGCCCTTCGTCCCACATTCAATTATTTCACCCAGAAGCATCAATTAACTAAGCAAGAAAAGTTCTTCCCACATAATTCTTCAAATTTTAATTTATGTTAATTCAATTATTTTCATTAATTTGTATTCTCATTTTAATTAAATTTAGTGCTCTCATAATTTTTTATTTGTACAATTTATTCACCTACGTTAATTTTCTTTTAAGTTTATGATTAATTTATTAATTTCAATTTACATTTATTCATTAATTTATTTTATTCATTATTTCTCTATTTTTTATTTTTTAGTTGCCCAAGTCATCTTCCAAGTCAACTATTTCTAAGTCAGTTAAGTTAATACAAAGTAAAAATAAGCAAATTAATTTTTTTTAAGAAGAAATTAAGTTTAAAAGAGTAGAGCAACAGTTAGTCGACAAGCTGTTCCAAGTATATATATATATATATAATGCATTTGGTTAATTCAAAATACCAGCAAATGCATTTTGTTAATTTAAACATTAAGAATTGAAATTATTAATTAAATGAGGATAATATGATAAATTCACATTTTTTATATTAAAAAATTAAAATTAAAAACAAAATCAGATAATAGGTCATACTTTTATGGAACATAACTACCCATATTCTTTTTTCTTAATTCTAAAAATAAAGTTATAAAAAAAATAAAAAAAAACCGTGAGCATGTGTCAAGGGGCTAGTATGAAGTTAATTATTTATCTGCAGGGTAAATTTTAATTTATTATTTATGTGCATCTAATTATGAAGTAAATTATTTATCGACGGCTGTGTCACTTTAATTACTTTCCGCAACTAATAATGCATAACAACTTTAAATTTGTCCAATATAATTTCAAAGTCAACTGAGAGAGAGACATTGTTTTCCAAGCTGATCCCCTGTGTGGATTTGTTTGTACTACAGTTTGGTTCTGAGTCCAGTGGTCGAGTCAAACTATAGTTCAAAAGAAGATTTCCATATTATTCTGTAAATTATTGAACTAGACAATTCGATGTATTATGTTATTAAACTGTCATATTAATCGTTAATAGTCTAATATCATTACGCGTTTATAAAATATCGAACATGAACACACTTTCTTCCAATTAAAGAGATAACACACTTTTTTACAGCTTGTAGTATAAGAATTAAACTACAAATGTAACCAAATAATAGTGACCGTAGTGTGTTTTGGCTCAATTGACCACATAGTATAAGTGTGGTTCCACCCCTATCATACTCAGTAATTGGTCAATGGTCATCATCTAGAATTTGCAAAAAGATGATAGTAGCCAAGTTAGGTAGCAGCATAATGGGAAAGGGAGTTGTAAGAGAAGGCTTGCCCTTAATTACTACATTTGTCAAAGAATTATAGCTTTCCCTTAATAAATTTTCTAACAAATTACTGGGCTGTCTGTTTATTTATGTTTATTTTCTAACAAAGATTATAGCAAAATTTGGAAACCCTAAATCACAGTATGTATTTATATTTTCCTGTTTCCTAATCTCATTGGGAGAACGAATATTTAATTATAATTAATAATAATGTGCTTTTAAAGTTGTTCTTTTTTTATTTTTCTTTTTGTTGGAGAAGTTGGTTGGAGTTTGTATTACTCCAAACAAAATACAATTAT